GGTCTCGCTGAACAAGGTCCTGTCTGAGACGCTTTAACTGAGACAGATGGCTAGGCAAATCACCACCTTTCTCCAACTGCAGCCTGCACAGCTTCTTAAAGAAAATCACACTGGAACCAGCATTTTGTCTCAGATGCATATCTCTCAACTTATGCCAAACAGCTTGTGCAGTCTCTTGACCCTCTAAATTCACCAGCAAGTGGTCTGAAACACTCAAAATAATTGTCCCTCGGGCTTTCATATCTGCAGCATGCCACTCAGCCCAATCATCAGCATCCTCATCGGGAGGGTCATCTTCTATCGTGTGAAATAGCTTTTCCCTCTGTAAAAGCGCTTTCATCTTTACTTGCCAAACTGCATAGGTTTCAGGCGTGAGGAGAGGAAAGGACAGAGCCATCTGGCCAGAATGTGCACAGGCCATGTCTGCTATTACTTAGAGCAAGACACTTCCCTCGTGCAACACAGATAAAGCTTTGACTCCGTCAGCCACTCTCTCTCCCACTCAGAGCGCAATTAACAGGCAAACAGGGATGCTATCTTCTTCCTTTGGCAGTCAGCAACATACCTCCATAAATCAAGCAGCAGCAACAGCAACAGCGGCAGCTTGAATACTCTGCTCCAAAACAGCTCTGCTTCTGGGCACCGCAAATCAGTCCAGCATGCAGCGTCTGTTCCACCGTCCGGCAATCAGCAACAGAAACCTCTGGCGACTGGGACGACTGAGACGCCTGGGATGACTGGAACAACGCCAGGTCAGACGACTAGAACAATGACTGGGCCCATAACCGATGTCAGCATCGCCCTGGAGAGCCAGTGCACCAACTGGACTCATGCACCTCAACCCCAACTGGGCTAGGCGAGCTGGGAAGCACCGCCAGAGACCTCCTTCCTCACAGGAACAGGTCACAGTGCTGTGGACTCACAACTCAGAGCTGAGAGCACCGGATTCACTGTCTCAATAATACAGTCGTTGCGCAGCAGAGTTTTGCAGAGTCTTGCAGAGTATAAACCACTCGGAGAGCAGCTCTGTAGAATATCTTCCTTTTATTCTGTAACTACAACTATGATACAAAACTATATACAGAGCTGAATATTCTAAGCATAAATCAATGCTACACTGAGAGTCTGCAGCTGCTCTTAGCAGCAATCTTATCTCTAGGATCTCCAACACTCTCACTCTCTCCGATACACTGACTGACTGACTCTCTCTCACACACAGAGATATGTTGCTGGGCAGAATAAGTAGATAGGCAGGACACGCCTCCTCTTCTCTGGAGAGTCAGCAGAGACCATCAGGAGATGATAAGGAGATTCTTGGGTATGGGAGGGGTGAAATCTCCTCATCTGAGTACCTTGGCTCAGAGTTCCCCTTCTGGGACGTAGAGGGTTCCCCCTCTGTACAGCAACCCTCCTCTCTCTGTGAAATCCTTTGCATCACCTCCCCGTTTTCTATCACCTCTTTCTTTTTCTGAGCAAACCCATCTGGAATCTCAGGCCTAACTGCAGAGCGGCTTGCCCCACCTCTTCCAGGGTGTTCAACATTGGCATTTCCGCAAGTTCATTGCGAATCTCCTCGCAGAGTCCTGCTTTGAACAGGGCAATCGAGGCCTTCCCTTCCCACTCCAGTTGACAGGCATGCATCATAAAACTGGACCAATACTTTGCTACTGTTCTCCTTCCTTGCCTGAGGTTCAGGAACTCCTGTTCCAACTACGCCTATTGTGCGGCATTCCTGAGTATGTTGTCCAAGAGCTTCAAAAAGGCAGGTAAATTAGTGAGCACGTGGTCATTGACATCAGGTAAGGGGGAATCCATTGTCTAGCCGCCGCCCCAGAAGCTCCACAGACGTGGCTATTCTTGCTTCATCATCTCTGTAGAATCATAGAGTTGGAAGAGACCACAAGGGCCATCGAGTCCAACCCCCTGCCAAGCAGGAAACACCATCAGAGCACTCCTGACATATGGTTGTCAAGCCTCTGCTTAAAGACCTCCAAAGAAGGAGACTCCACCACACTCCTTGGCAGCAAATTCCACTGTCGAACAGCTCTTACTGTCAGGAAGGTCTTCCTAATGTTTAGGTGGAATCTTCTTTCTTGTAGTTTGGCTCCATTGCTCCGTGTCCGCTTCTCTGGAGCAGCAGAAAACAACCTTTCTCCCTCCTCTATGTGACATCCTTTTATATATTTGAACATGGCTATCATATCACCCCTTAACCTCCTCTTCTCCAGGCTAAACATGCCCAGCTCCCTTAGCCGTTCCTCATAAGGCATCGTTTCCAGGCCTTTGACCATTTTGGTTGCCCTCCTCTGGACACGTTCCAGTTTGTCAGTGTCCTTCTTGAATTGTGGTGCCCAGAACTGGACACAGTACTCCAGGTGAGGTCTGACCAGAGCAGAATACAGTGGCACTATTACTTCCCTTGATCTAGATGCTATACTCCTATTGATGCAGCCCAGAATTGCATTGGCTTTTTTAGCTGCCACGTCACACTGTTGGCTCATGTCAAGTTTGTGGTCAACCAAGACTCCTAGATCCTTTTCAAATGTACTGCTCTTAAGCCAGGTGTCACCCATCTTGTATTTGTGCCTCTCATTTTTTCCCCCCAAGTGCAATACTTTACATTTCTCCCTGTTAAAATTCAGCTTGTTTGTTTTGGCCCAGTACTCTAATCTGTCAAGGTCGTTTTGAAGTGTGATCCTGTCCTCTGGGGTGTTAGCCACCCCTCCCAGTTTGGTGTCATCTGCAAATTTGATCAGGATGCCCTTGAGTCCATCATTCAAGTCGTTGATAAAGATGTTGAATAAGACCGGGCCCAAGACAGAACCCTGTGGCACCCCACTAGTCACTCTTCTCCAGGATGAAGAGGAACCATTGATGAGCACCCTTTGGGTTCGGTCAGTCAGCCAGTTACAAATCCACTGTGTGGTAGCATAGTCAAGACTGCATTTTACCAGCTTCTTTACAAGAATATCATGGGGCACCTTGTCAAATGCCTTGCTGAAATCAAGGTAGGCTACATCCACTGCGTTCCCTTCATCTACCAGGCTTGTAATTCTGTCAAAAAACGAGATCAGGTTAGTCTGACATAACATATTTTTCAGAAATCCATGCTGACTATTGGTGATCACAGCATTCCTTTCTAGGTGCTCACAGACTGTTTGCTTAATGATCTGCTCCAGAATCTTCCCTGGTATTGATGTCAGACTGACTGGGCGGTAATTATTTGGGTCCTCTCTTTCCCCTTTTTGAAAATAGGGACAACATTTGCCCTCCTCCAGTCTGCCGGGACTTCGCCTGTTCTCCAGGAATTCTATTGCTTGCAGTGTCATTGGTTCCCACATGAACCAAGAGGAAGGGGTATTTGTCAGTGGGTTTTATGATTTCTTGCAGTCGTTCAGTTACATCTTGGATCTTAGCCCCGGGGAGACAGCACACTTCCCGAGACATCTTGTCAGGCCCACAGATCACTGCTTCTGTTCCCCTCAGTAGGGAATCCCCTATCACCACTACACGCCTCCTCTTAGGTTTGGTCGGGGTTGTTCCGTGAGCTGTCGGTTCCAAGGTCGCCTGGACATTCCCAGAGGACTGACTTTGCTGCTCGTCTTCATATACCTGATCGACTGTAATGAGGGAGAGATCCTCAAATGGAGTCTGTTCTTCGTCTTCCATGCTAGGGGAGAGGACCTCAAAGCGATTGTGTATTCTTCCCCTTTAGGACGTAGGCTATATAAGCAAGAGGCTCGGAAGGAGTCATACTCTGCACTATTCCCATTGAAATGTGGGGGAGGGGGGACTAGGTTTTTTGCAGTTTGCCTACTGGATAAATCAGAGAGCTTTCTTGCCTGTTCTCCCGTCACTCCTTCCAGTCGTGCTAATATTATCTTTAATTCTTGATTCTCTGCCCAGAGAAATTGTGTAGGATCCACTGCCGTTGGAGCCTCCGCAGCTGCCGCTCCTTGCCTGGCTTGCATATCCACGGGCTGCTGCTGCTGTCGCTTTTCAGCCATCCTTGCTTAATTATCTGATGGGCTTTCGTTCTCAGCAGCAGTTGAGTTGAGTCATGCTGTAGTGGCAGCAAGACTTGAACACGTACAGTGAAGTAAAAGTTGGTTTTATTCCTGAAAAAACTTGCCTCTTCTCTGGACCTCTCTGCCCCCATGACTTGTGGCTACCCTTATGATGACTCAACTAAATCCTCAGCGTTGTTCCTCTTCCTCCAGAAACAACGTGTGAAGACGAATCTCTTCTGTTGCTTCTATGATGTCAATTTCCCCTTTTCTTGTACCCCTTCTCTTCTGCGTTACTGCACTCTGAGAGGCTTGGAAACTGGCCCAGACAAGCTATTGTCTGATAACTCCTGTATTTCTCTGGGCTGTGACCTCCCCCCTGTACTTTCCTTTGTTCTTCCCATAACAATCCTCCCTTCGTCCCCTGGGCAGCCATTCAATTCTGGCAGCTGCTGTTGCTCGCTTGTTGGCTCCAGCCTGACAAATACCGATAACTGAACAAACTTTGTTGCATTACATTCTGGATTAAATTATCTTTCCATTGAAAAATAATTTCACAATATTATTAATAATACCTTTATTGTCATTGTACAACCTGTGTACAATGAAATTCAATGAGCCTCCCTCCCAAAGAAGTGGTGTTATGAGCCATCAAACCTCTGAAATACACTTTCCTCCAAAAGGATTCTACAATTTTACCACTACTGTATATCAAGCAAAGCAACATGCAACAACCATTAGAATCTAATAATAAATACATTGGTTAATGACAGACAACAAAGGCAATGAACACACACGCAACTCCCTTCAGTTCTCCTTCATTTGTTCCTGAGGCTCAAATCTCTTTTTGCCTCCATTGCAGATTGTGATGAATTGCAGATCGAGAACAAGGATGAACACGACAAAATCCCCAGAGAGGAGAAGCCACGTAAGAATTTGGAGTGTGGAGAGAGCTCCCATTCCAGTTCCCAACAAAGAAATCTCAATGGAAAGAAACACTATCAGTGCATGGAATGTGGAAAGAGCTTCAGTATGAGCTCCGATCTCACTAAACATCAAAGAATTCATAAAGGGGAGAAACCCTATCAGTGTATGGAATGTGGAAAGACCTTCAGTCGGAACGACTCTCTCACTTCCCATCAAAGAATTCATACAGGAGAGAAACCCTATCAGTGTGTGGAATGTGGAAAGAGCTTCAGTCACAGCTCTGCTGTCACTAAGCACCAGAGAATTCATATAGGGGAGAAACCCTATCAGTGCTTGGAATGTGGAAAGAGCTTCAGTCAGAGCTCTAATCTCAATTCCCATAAAAAAAATCATACAGGGGAGAAACCCTTTCAGTGTATGGAATGTAGAAAGAGCTTCATGAAGAGCTCCCATCTCACTTCTCATCAAAGAATTCATACAGGGGAGAAACCCTATCAGTGCGTGGAATGTGGAAAGAGCTTCAGTTACAGCCAAAGTCTGACTTCCCATCAAAAAATTCATACAGGGGAGAAAACCTATGAGTGCATAGAATGTGGAAAGACCTTCAGTCGGAACAACTATCTCACTTCCCATCAAAGAATTCATACAGGGGAGAAACCCTATCAGTGCATGGAATGTGGAAAGACCTTCAGTCAGAGCTCTGATTTCACTAAGCACCAGAGAATTCATACAGGAGAGAAACCCTATCAGTGTGTGGAATGTGGAAAGAGCTTCAGGGAGAGCTCCAAACTCACTTCCCATCAAAGAATTCATACAGGCGAGAAACCATATCAGTGCTTTGAATGTGGAAAGAGCTTCAGTCAGAGCGCCCATCTCACTTCCCATCAAAGAATTCATACAGGGGAAAAACCCTATCAGTGCTTTCAATGTGGAAAGAGCTTCAGTCAGAGAAATGATCTTACTTCCCATCAAAGAATTCATACAGGGGAGAAACCCTATCAGTGTGCAGAATGTGGAAAGAGCTTCAGTCAGAGCTCTAATCTCACTTCCCATCAAAGAATTCATACAGGGGAGAAACCCTTTCAGTGCATGGAATGTGGAAAGAGTTTCAGTCAGAGCTCCTCTCTCACTTCCCATCAGAGAATTCATACAGGGGAGAAACCCTATCAGTGCTTTGAATGTGGAAAGAGCTTCAGTCAGAGCGCCCATCTCACTTCCCATCAAAGAATTCATACAGGGGAAAAACCCTATCAGTGCTTTGAATGTGGAAAGAGCTTCAGTCAGAGTAATGATCTTACTTCCCATCAAAGAATTCATCCAGGGGAGAAACCCTATCAGTGTGCGGAATGTGGAAAGAGCTTTAGTCGGAGCTACTCTCTCACTTGTCATCAAAGAGTTCATATTGGGGAGACATCCTTCATTATATAGCTTTAGGAGACAAGGAAATCTGCACTTTGTAAACCAGGCCTTTGGCTGATTGATATCTAATGTCCTTTTAAAATGTGGTGAGAAGAGGGTTACACATGTGTATTTTGTGTTTTTATATTGTGTTTTTGTTTTATGTTGTAACTGTCCTGACACGTGGCAACAGGAGTCAAACTTTAGAGGCTGAGGGTTTTTTGCCCCCCAATAAAACATTTGAGGGTGCCACCCTCCCAGTTGGTAGGCTTTGCCATTCTAATGGCATGCATGCATCATGTGATCGATTAAGCAAGGCAGGCCTTATCTGACCCACCAACAATATTATATTCAAGTCAGCACCACTGGGTCAAGTGGTATGCAAATTAAATAAATACATAAATTGTCTTCGTTTGCACGTTCCAGCTTGTCAATATCCTTATTCATTATCATTTTTAAAATTTATGTACCCTTCACCTGAAGATTTCACAACATAAACACAAAGGATGAAAGCATGGCTTTCACAAAAACAAGTAAATCCAGAAAAATCTCTCCTCCCCTTTTTTTGGATGGAGTTACAAACTTTGTTGATCAGGGGAGAGCTGTGGAAATAGTGCATCTTGATTTCAGTAAGGCTATTGACAAAGTCCCCCCATGAAATATTTACATGGAAGCTGGTAATATGTGGGCTGAACAAGGAAACTGTTAGGCGGATTTGACTGACCGAACCCAAAGAGGACTCCTTCATGGTTCCTCATCATCCTGGGGAAAAGTGACAAGAGGGGTGCTGCAGGGTTCTGCCCTGGGCCCGTTGTTGTTCAGCATCTTTATAAATGACTTGGATGAAGAAGCTGAGGGGGTGCTCATCTCATTTGCGGAGGACACCAAACAGGGAGAAAAGGCAATGTGGTAGAAGGCAGAATCAGATCAAGGGCAGGAATAGTACCACTCCATTCTGCCTTGGTCAGGCCCCACCTTGAATACTGTGTTCAATTCTGGGCACCACAAGTTAAGTATCTTAAATATTGGTTGCCTGGAGAAATCAAAAGGTGGGGAAACACAATCCATATTCCTTTTATAACTTGTGGCCAATGTTTATTGAATACATGTAGTTTTAATACTGTTGTAGGAATCCACCCAGCACTCAGTAATTGTTATTAAACATTAAATATGGGGCGCTTAAGCACTACCCGCCCCCCCCGATCTTTCAGAGCGAAAATACCTCTGTGGGCGGGATCGGCTAATAGGATAGCTTCAAGAACTGGGTCAGTCACCAACCCTGTGTGTACCTAGAGAAAACCACTGTAGGGATAGTAAGTTGTGATGGTAGTGAGTCACACATGAGTGCAGTTCATTTAAAGTTGGTTTTATTCCAAGAAAAGAACAGATTACCAGGAGCTCCTCTCCCGCGAGCTGGTCGCCATTACGATGATGACTCAACTAAGTTCTCAGTGTCACGTTTCATCCTACAAATGCAACGTGGGAGGAAACTTCTATTCGTATGCAGGGACTAATCACGTCCTCTTTCCTGTAACCCCCCTCCACGCTCTTGAATACTCAAAGACTGGCCAGCCATTTCTGAGAGGCTATCTGTGGAGTTTGGCCTTTCACCTACATTCTGGGAGAGTGTTTCCATGATAAACCCCCTTCCTTTTGTATCTTAAGAAAGAAAAATTGGGACGTCATTGGTCTCCAGGAAACACATATAGCAAAGAAACATGACAGAGTTTTGATAGATAAGAAATTAGGAACAGAATACATAGCTCCAGATGTTTCCAAAAAGAGAGGAATAGTTATTTATTTATACACACACACACACACACACACACACACATATACCGAAAGATAGATGCAAAAATCCTACTTAAAGATGATAGATGATGAAGGAAGAATATTAGGAATACAATTGACAAAAGGCAGAGAAGAAATAATTTTGGTGGGGATGTTAGGATATTTCCGTTCCACCTTAAAAGGGAGCAGGCTTTGTGAATCACAGAGTCTGCGTATTTCCTGTTCACAGGAAGTTTATGTTTTGTCTTTGCTTTCGTTTCTCTCTCTGTGCCTGGACACTGAAGCAGGCAGTCATGTTTTTTCTTTGTTCTGACCAACGCTGAATAAACTTAAGCAATGCTCTCCTTAGTGCATCTTTTGCTGTACATTATCTGTTGATAGAGCGTGCATTAGCTCTGGAATGTGGCAAGCTATTTCTGGAGCCCGTGTTGCTAATTGCTGATACTGCGTGTCTAGGGGGGATCGATGGACGTCCGGAATCGACGTGGGGCCTTGATGGATGATGTCTCCCTGGCAGTATCCCAACAATATGCACCAAGTGGAAATAAAACAAACTTCTTCAAAAACAACCTTGAAGATATTAGAATACAGTAATGACAGTATGATCATCATGGGAGACTTCAACGGAGTAACATCCCTGGCTCTAGATAGAACGGAGAGAGACGTAACATCAAGAAAAGGGAAGTTCCCAATAACATTTAATCAATTGGTAGAAGATCTGAATTTAAAAGATGCTTGGAGAGAGAAACAGATAAGGGACAGACAATATACCTTCTATTCATATGCTAAAAAATCAGATGCAATCCAGACTTCAAATAATCTAATACCTTTTTGAAGAAATGTTGAGATCCTCCCGAAAATGATATCAGACCATAATTTGGTAATGATGGAACTAAAATATAATAAAATTAAAAACAGAAGTTGGAGGTTGAATGGATGATTATTAAATGATGAGAAAATATTAGAGATAACCGGATAGTCCTAGAAAGAACAGAGATCTTAGATTTGGAAAGCTACAATAATAGGTTTGGATTACACACCTATTTAGGTTACAATAAGAGCAAAGCCCATGCAGATTTCAACAACCATATTTTAAGAAATGCCTTTTATAAAGTTTGGATAAAACGCCAGCCGCTCTTGGAACCATTGACACCCTGGCAGCTGTCCCTGCTTGAAGCCCATGCGGTGAAAATTTATAATATACAAATATTAAAAAATGACCAAGGGAGAGTCATAATGGTAAAGGCTAAAAAAATTATTGATAGGAATTTATGCTCCAAATGAAAAATAAATCAGAATTTTATAAAAAGTTGGAGAATGATTTAATGGACTTTGCAGATCTAGAAATGATTTTGATGGGCGATCTGAACAGAGTGATGTCATTGGAAATGGACAGAACAATTAGGAAAAAGGATACTAAGGAGGGCAGACTTCCAAAAGCTTTCTTTGAATTGGTTGACAATTTCAATTTGATAGATATTTGGAGAACCAAACATTGGTTAGATAGAGAATTCACATTTCATTCTGATGTATACGAAAGCAGTTCAAGAATCCATACGATATGGGTGTCTAAAGAATTAGAATGGAAGGTAAGAAAAATACAGATACAGTGGTAACTCAGGTTAAGTACTTGATTCATTCCTGAGGTCCGTTCTTAACCTGAAACTGTTCTTAACCTGAAGCACCGCTTTAGCTAATGGGGCCTCCTGCTGCTGCTGCGCCACCAGAGCACGATTTCTGTTCTCATCCTGAAGCAAAGTTCTTAACCTGAAGCACTGTTTCTGGGTTAGCGAAATCTGTAACCTGAAGCGTATGTAACCCGAGGTACCACTGTATTGCCAAGAACAATATCAGACCATAACCCTGTTTTTTTAGAAATGCAAAATGAAAATCAGTCTATGGAATACACTGGGATCTCCTTCTGCCCTTCTTTGATAGGGCTTGTGTACATCCATCTCCTCCCTCTGGGGGGGCCACTGAAGTTTGCAAACTGGTGGTTCGGGGGGGGGGCAAGCACAAAGGATTGCATCATCTCTCTCTGCTTGGCTCAGAGCCAGCTGCCTCCTGACTTCTGCTGGGTGTTAATGATCCCTGCAGCAGGAGCCGAGTGCCTGGCATGGATGAGGCCTCATTCTGGCCTTCTGCTCCACTGAGCAAATGTGACAAAGGTCAGGGCTCCTGGGGGGGGGCGTAGAATTTCCCCCAAATCACAGGCTCATCAGAGGGTTGCCCCACAGGCCTAGACTGGAGCCACTCTGGCCCTCATCCAGCGGGCTTGGGCATGACCCTGCTGAGTCGTGCAGAGGTGGCCGCCTTCAACGGGACATTCTGGGATCCAAAGAGAAGCTGAGATCGGCTGCTGGGATCCAGCCTGTCCCACTTTGAACAGGACAGCCGTGGGCTATCCATTCTGGCCCTCTGCTCCCCTGAGCAAATGCAATAGAAGCCGAGGCTCCGGGGTGGATGGTGGGGATAGTAGAGTTGAAAGGGAGCCCCAGGGTTCTGTGGGCTAAGGTTACCAGATTTTTTTCAAAGAATCCGGGGAGACTTCTTTTTTCTTTTTCTATTTTGAAAAGGGGGGAGGGAGTTATTTTTAAAAAGTTATTTTAATTTTTTCCCCCAGAAGTAGTGTCTCCTCTTCTGTGATCTCCTCTGTCACACAGCCTTCCTCTGGGCCCTGGCCTGTTGTCTTGTAACGCTAGCTGCCGTGGGGTGGGCTCGGGTCTGGACTGGGCTCCGCCACGTGTCCTTGCCCTCCATGTGCGCTCCTACCTGTCCTTGGTGGTGGCGGCTGTGGCACGGCAAGGTTGGGGCTCCCCTCTTTTTCTCCTTCCTCTTTCTCTCTCTTCCTTCTCCTCTCCTCCTTCTCCCTGCCTTGGCTCCGGGGTTTTCATGGCCCTGGAGCGCCGCTGGGCAGTCAGACTGGTGGCCGGGTGCTCTTGCTCCCGGCTTGATTTGGGTCATGGGGGGAGCAGCGGTTCCCCTAGTTGACCCGCCAGGTGTCCCCGGTTCCCCCTCGGCAGTGGCACCCGCCATTTTGCCTCACTGGAAGTCCCCATATGATGTGTCCTGTGCTGCTGAACCAATCACGCAACATTCATTCCCTACTAATAAATCTACAACACTTAAAATATAAATCTGGGGACATTAAATGAAATCCCGGGACATTCCAAGGATAGATTTTGTCCGGGGACAGTTGCGTGAATCTGGGGGCTGTCC